GGCCCATTCCATGGTGGGCCCTATTCTAGGTGTTTCGTACACATTATTATTTTTTATGTCCACAAAACTGCAATCAAGTTGGGGCTTGCATTGTTCCCAAGGCCCAGAGAAGTTGAGGGACTTGCCCGAAGTCCTACAGCTACTGAGTGAGGGTTGGGGTGCTTGACTTCAAAGCCAGTTCTGAAGCATAGCAACTGCTCAGTATCTCTTGGTTTCCTTTCTCCTTTTCTCCAGCTCTTTAATGCTATTCCAAAGTCACTGGAATGCACTTTTTAAACAATGTTTATTTATTTTGAGAGAGAGAGAACAGTGGGGAAGGGGAGAGAGAGAATCCCAAGCAGGTTCCACACTGTCAGCACAGAGCCCGATTCGGGGCTTGATCTCACGAACCGTGAGATCATGACCTGAGCTAGAATCAAGACTCAGACACTCAACCAACTGAGCCACCCAGGTGCGCTGTTGTAGGTACTTCTTTCCTTAATTCCATAACTCATCATTCTCCTCCTGTCTGTTCTCTGTTTGGTTCCCAGGGCAATGCTTAGTATTTTTTAAATGCCCTCATTAATATAGACCTCTTTCGGACCGTCCTGCCTTAACATAGGTTCAGAGGAAGCAGAAGTTAGGCAGGGAGATAGCCCAAGGAACTCCAATATCCTTTTTAGCTTTTATTTTGTTCTCACTTCCAAATGCCATGTCCCTCTGTGAATCCCCACCTCTCTGTGTCTCGTTTCCTGGAGAGTGCCAGCCCGGTTTCACTTCCCCTTTAAAATATCCATGGATCTTTGTGCCCCCTGATCACTCGGGCTCTATTGCACTGGGCCTCACTAAGGGCACAGTATCCTTTTCATAATAGGGTATCCAAAATGCCACAGTAGACTTTTGTGCCCAGCCAGAGTCGCTGCACTGATTGCAGATATCACGCACCATTCTATTGGATACCCTCATTTTCTCTTTTCAGGAAGGACTGGTATCAGCTTTCATCCTGCCTCTGATGAACCAGGGGCTTATTTTTCTCTAAGTCTTGTGGCTGCTCTTTTCCAATCCCTGCCAGTTTCCATTTCTGTGTGATATCAGTTGACTGGGGAACCCCCACACAGGACTTAGGCGTGAGTGGGTAGATAGTTGGCCTTCTCCCGAAAGTCTGCTCTGCATATATTTCTCAAAACCTGTTGGCTTCCTACCTGCCTGCTTTCCTCCACAGGTTGAGTCCAATGGACACATCGCTCTCTTTCTTCTGTGCTTACAGAGTCTCACCTGCTTTTCATTGAGGAGCCACTCTTACTGCTACGGCGAATATTCATATTGTGCGCAATTTAGCTCAAATCTGTACTGACAACAGAACATGCTCTATACTATTTTAAAATAATAGTATAATAAATAAAACCTCGATGTGACCTTTTCCTTGAAATATGAACATAGCAACGAAATTTGAGAGGAGAGAACCTGAAAATAGGTTAATTGCAGTTTGATTGTATATAATAAGATTGAGCCCATAATAATAATGCCAGGCACTCTCCCAAACATATTCTATACATTATAACATTTAATCTATATAACAAGGCTCAGAGGAATGTATCATTATCACCCCAGATTTACAGAGAAAATTAAGGCTAAAATCAGTCAAGTAATTTGCCTAATACCAGGCAGCTAGTAAGTATCAAAGGAGAGATTTGAACCCAGACTTTGGCTGATTTCCAAGTCCATGAGCTTAGCTACTGTTACCCGGTTTTGCTTGTTTTTTGCTCCCTGCACCACCTCTCTGATGTTTCCGTATTTGCTTTCTGGTTAATGTTTACTCCCTCCTCCCTAGTACACCATGTCAAGGGTGTGGCATGGGCTTTTTGCTTCCTGAATGTTCGTTACTTAGTTCAAACTGGCTTTATCCCTTCCAAAGGGACATTGAAAGTGCCAGCCTGAAATGGGTGGAGAATTAAGAGCTGGCTCCAGTACACTGCTGGCTACTCTACAGGATTTTGATTATACTGTTGAAGTTTATTTGATGGCTAAATAGCCCAAACATGATCTATCCTTCAGACAACCCCCAAAGGGCCTCTAGGAAGCCCCCAAACACCCAGGAAGGGTCACTGGGGATAAAAAGATTTAGGAAAGGCCCCGACTCACAGGATTATTGGTAGAGGGGGAGCATTTTTTTCTCCTGTTGCAAACTCAGTGTGGTAGAGGTAGTGTAGGTTTTAGAGTCAGACCCAGGCTTATGGGATGACCTTGGGCAGCATTCGAGACATTTTTGGCCCACCTCAGATTCCTCAGTGGGGGAAATGGAGATAACAAATGCCCTCCTGGGAATATTGTGTGGATTTGTGAGATTTTTGTCTATAAAGTACCTAGCAGATACCTGGCACTTTGTAGATGTTCCCCAAACCGGAGCAACAATTCGTCTTCTTAGCCTGGCTCGCTCTAGAATCCCAAGTGATCCGGAGCTCCCTCTGAGCGTCGTTTCTAAGCCAGTGGGTGAAACAGGACTTGTTCATTGTATCACGGATTCAGTATGCTAACCTGGGAAGTACAACCCATCATCCCACTCTGCCTTTTACCTACTTGGGTAAGAACCACTGAGAAATCCATGCAGGGTCTTGAAATGCTCAAATGCTGTTAGATAATTCTTTGTTTTCATAGTAAAAAGAAAAGAAGGAAGGGAGGAAAGGTAAAGAGAAAAGAATCCAAGACTGCCATTTCCAAATTTGCAAAGTGAGTAAGATTGGTGCTTGGTACTTTTTAATCTTTCCTAAAGTAATAGGGTCCCTCCTTCCCCCACCAGGAGAGAGAGAGAGAGAGAGAGAGAGAAAGGGGAAGGGGAGAGGAGAGAATGAGACCCATCCCTCCTATTCTCCTTCCGATTACACCAGAGGGAGAGTTTCTTGCTTTGCTTTTAGGCCACTGACCACACTGCCACAGTTTCCTCATCTGTTGAAATGTGTTTAGTAGCAGCTGCCGGGCACACCTGGTGAGCTGTTAGAGAAACCAAATGGATAACGTAGTGAAGAAACAGCTAGTATTCAAATTGAGGCAGAGAGACTTCCCGGTAGAGGGGCAGGAGCGCAGGGCAGGAGGGAGCAAACCTGAGTTCGATTCAGCCCTTGACAATAGCTGCATTGTGACTGTGGGCGCGTCCCCTGCCCTCCCCGTGGCTCAGATCCCTCATCTCGCAATGGGCAGCGCAGGAACCTGGCGCCTGCGCCTCCCCAGGTCGGAGAATCCCGGAGCTCCGCATGTGTGAAGACACCTTGAAAATTGTGCAACTGCGCAGGACACAGCGTTTCCGCCACCGGCTGAGCTCAGTTGTCAGGTTAGGCCAGCCTTTTGTTTTGTTTTGTTTTTAGCCTTTCTCACACACAGAAAGCAAGACCTGGAAATTCCCTATCCATGTGCATATTTAGGAGTGTCTGAGGTGCCTATGGGCTCTAGCTTTTCCCAGCCTCTAACAAACCCAGAAGCAGGGTGGGGGTGAGACCCAATGACTGTGAGCTCTGGGTGGTGAACACATGATCCATCTAAAAGAGGCAAAGGAACTCAGTGCCAACACACAACTAGCATGAAGACCATATGCCCAGTGTGGACAGATCTATTTTTTCAAGGAAGGTTAATAATCTCGACATTTTTTTTTACCATAAAATGAACTATCTGAAAAGTACAGGCTCAAAAATAGAGTAAAACCTGGGACTGTGAGTAACTTGTTCTGCGCATATCCCGCAAGATGAGCAAACGTTTCTAATCAATTTTAACTTGATTAGCCAGCGATGTGTTGCAATACGAGTACTACACGACCCCGAATGTCACATGATCACAACCGAGCCAATAGTTCTTGAAGTCCGCTTTGATAGGCAAGTGCGTTGGATTTCAAGCAAGCTTCCAGAAGGAATTATGCCCACAAACCAAGGTTTTACTGTAATTGTGAACAATCGGAAATAATTGTCTTTTCAAATAGGCCGAAGCCCTGATCTAGTGCGTCTTCCCTGTGCTTACAGTTTGGAAGCTGAAATCTAGAGAGAAGAAGGCGGCTGCTTGGCTGGTTGGCAACAGACACACAGAGCCAGGGCTGCCTGCCTTGGAGGAGGCATCTTTCATTTCTTGCTGGCTCTACAGCCAGGGGTCCGGATTTCCTGGTTTTCAAAAAAGTGCTGGAGGAGTGGCTTCGGACAGCCTGGCGGGCTCAGCTCCATCCCGGTAGTCTGGCTGGTGTGCCAGGTGAAAGGGAAGTAGATTGTAAAGCACTTTGGATATTATCAAGCTTGGTTAAAAAATAGCAACCACCTCGCCTCATTATGCCACATTCGGGATAGGGGTGGGGTGGGGGGAGGGTCTCTGATTTCCTTCATGATCTTCATTTCTTGCCTGGCCCTTGACCCCTGGGCCTGCTCTGAGGCGAGTCAGGGGGTGCTACTCTCTTCGATTTCCTTCCTTGCTTGTTTGCCTTTGCTGCAGTGGCCCAGGTGAAAAGCGCATCGTCTTGGAGCCTTGACTCGGGGGTCAGGTGTGCACCTGCCTCTCTCTGAACCCTGACTCTTCACTCCCCAGCTGTGCAGTTTCACCTCTCTGAACCTCACTTTCCTGAGCTCTAGAATGGGGATAACAATGCATATCACTCAGCCTCAGTGAGGAAGTCGACACAAAATAACGAAAGTAAAGCCTTTACCAGAGGACGGGATCCAGGAGATGTAGTCAATAAATGATAGTTGGGGGAGCCATGATCTCCAGAGCTTCTAGATTCTAACCGGAAAGTTGTGAGAGGCAGTCCAGCACAGCTACCCAAGGCTAAGTATCTGGTGCCAGGCTGTGGGTTTGAATACCCTGCCTCTACCACTTCAGCGAGTTGCTCGACACCTTCCTCATGTGTGAGGTGTAGATAATGGTACCTACCTTGTGACATTGTTGTGAAGACTGAGGGGGCTGACGTCGTGGTGCACTTAGCATACATCCACCCATGAGGGCTGAACGGATGATAAATATTCTTGTCCAGGTGGGCACTATGGAACACAGCTGCGTGAGCTCAGTGCACATCTTTGTCATTCTAGGCAAAGGACTCCTCCCTTACGTGTGGGGGGTACGTTCCAGGCTCCCCCAGTGGATGCGTACAAACCAAGGGTAGTACCAAACTGTATATAACCTATGTTTTTTCCCATACTGATATACCTATGACAAAGTGTAACTCATAAATCAGGCACAAGAAGAGATTCACAATAATAACTATAAGGTAGAATAATGATCACAATTTACTGTAATAAGTGAATGTAGTCTCTCTCTCTCAAAACATCCTGTTTTACAGCGCACATCCTGCTGTGACTTGCGATGACATGAGATAATGAAATGCCTACATGAGGAGATGCAGTTGGGGAATGACGTAGGCACGTGACCTGAGGCAGCATTACCATTGACCTTCTGAATCTGCGTCAAAAGGAGCATCATATGCTTCGGAACCACGGTTGGCCACAGGTAACTCAGAAAGCGAGTGCGGATGAGTGGGGGTGGGGGATTACTGTACGATCTAAGCAGAGGCAGAATACACATGAGCTGTTACCTAGCGAAGCCCTAGCAGAGGCTACTAGAACCCACCCTGTGTCCTGTGTGCATTGCAATGGCCCACCTTCCAACTGCTGTCATATGCATCTCCCCAGAGATACTTCTCAGGCATCCAGAGCCCGTCCTACCCCCGTGTTCAGCAGGGCACACATCTCAGAGAATGAATGGCTCCCCTCGCCCCTGCCCCCACCCAAGGAATAACCCTCGACCAGCAATTGACAAGAGCATCTGTATAAATAGCCGCCTGCTCCCTCTTCCTCAGTGGGATAACTCCACAGTGCCCCTTCTGCAGTGCTCCTGGGGTTCCCCAACAGGACTGAGCCCTACTTGCCCACTGGCTTGGTGACACATCATTCACTGATCGTCCTTCTGTCTTGTCGCAATTCCTCATTCCCCTCCTGGTGTGCACTGGGATCATCTCCAAAGAAGTTCCTTGCAGTTAAATCCTAGTCTTAGGAACCAAATTATGAGAGATACAAACGGAGGAGCCAAGCTGAATAACCCAAGGCGCTATGATGTCTGCAAAGGCAGCAGATGCCAGGATCCATGGCCAGGACCCGGCGAGAGCCCCTTTGCCCTGGTTTCTCATAGTGGGAAACTGCCCCCCACCTGAAGACCTGGTATGTGCGCTCCACGAATCCGCCCACGGGTCCTTGTTTGGGAGCCGGCTTCCTTAGCAATGTCCCTGGAGGCTGGGAGCTGTGGGTGGGCTGATGCAAGAAGCCAGGATTGTGTCTCTAGGCTGGGGCCACATCCCACGTGTGGCTGTCACCACGTAAACACGGCATCTGAACGAGAGGAAGCACACTCCATGCAGGCAAATTGGAGCTTTCTCTTCTTTCTGTGTCTTCTTCTCCTTCTCCTTCTCCTCCTCTTCCCCCCCCCCCCCCCCCCCCCCCTCCTCCCCCTCCCCCCCCTCCTCCTCCTTCTTCTTTTTAATGGGGTGAAATGTAAAAACATCAGTCTTTGGCCCCCTTTTCTGTAAAAAAAAAAAAAAAACATAAAAAAACCCAATAGTAATAATTAGAACAGTAAACCCAACCAAGAGAAGTCCATCTCACGCAAATGAGAGACTATGTATAAGATGCCCTCTCAGACCACATCAGGAGTCAGTGAGCGCAAAATAGAATTTAGGAGTGCTCCTTCTGAACTGGGTAGTTGGTATGTGAATAGTGCAAGTTTTTGTGCAAAATAAATACACAGAAAGAGAAGGGGGAACCCTCACAAGACACTCAGAGTCCGTGCTGAAACTCAGCGTTCACTGGAGATGGCGAATGCATTACAGAGATACGTCTGCCTTCTCCACAATGGTGCCCACACCAAAGGAACATGCTCTCGGGTATGGCATTTTGCCTCCACACTGACCGGGAGTTTCAAAATATAAAAGAAGACCAGAGTGTGTGTGCAGGGGCCCTAGAAAGAGCGAGGAGATTAAAGAGCAGGCTTGCCTTCGAAGAGATTTGGTTTTTGTAACAAAATCAGGGCCCCGGACAGTTTGGAGGAGGACAAAGAGCACTCAGATTCCCCTCCTGAGGCTCTTCCAAAGCCATCGCGGTCATTTCCAACCACTTGCAGGTGTTTTTCATCCCAGAACAAACACAGAAACAAACATTTACAGAGTCATGAAAATTCAACAGAAGTCACCTGGACACAGGGCTTCCCCACCTGTGCTCAAGCTATCTGGCCCGGGATTATTAAACAGAATGTCACACCTAGTTTCCATTGTGGGACAGGAAGCCCTTGGGCCGGAAAGAATGAGTTCCCAGAATGTATTCGTAAGAGTAAATGCTACATCTTTTGAAGAAAGTGTTTGCAGCTCCGAGGGAAGAATAGATTTTAGGAATGTCAGTGGCTCTTCCCCCAGATCTGCCCAAACTTGCTGCAATGCCCTCAAAGAGTGCACGGCCACCTTGTGAACGGTCCATTACGTGCATCAACAGCACAGAGTCTAAGGCTGGCTTTCACGCTGACCACCTTGAATACTTTCTCATTTGGTTGTTTCTGGGAAAGGCCCTTGTGTGCTTTTCCTGAATGTTCCAGACGTGTGCAAGCGTCAAAATTAGGAAATGCGGCTGGGGAAATTCAGCCTTCAGCACCCCCCATGTCATCCTTCGACCTTCTTCGGTAGATCTAGAGAACCAAGAAAGTGAAGGAGGTGGATGTGGTTATGGGAGGAGGGAAGAAAGGAATAGAAAGGAAGGGAAGGGGAAATGGAAGAAGTATGGGAATGAGAAGGATGGAAAGGAGGGAGGAAGGAGCAGGAAGGAAGGGAATGGAAAGGAGAAAGAAAGGAGGGAGAGAGGCAGGAAGAGAGAAAAAGAGAGAGACAGAGACAGAGACAGACTTAGATCTGCTGCTGTCAGACCCTCACTGGTTTATACGAGGAGCCAGATAGCCGCTCAGTGAAAAACTGAGATTAAGCTCACAACATAATTTCCATTATGTTAATGTTGCTTTAAAATATATTGCACAGAGTGCTGCAACAATCAAATTATCAATTATAATGTCTACTCAGAGTAGGAAAGTGTTGCAAACAGAGGGCTGATTACTGCTTCAGTACATCCAATCTGCATACTCATTGTTCAGTGCAGGGAAAACAAATTATCTTGTGTTGGCCCCAGTTCAAATTTAATTAAATGAGTGCAAAGCAATTATAATAAAGTACAATAGTGTAGTAATGAAAGGAAAATAACTCATTAACCTATTAATCTTTATTTATGTTCCTCTCAAATAACTATGTAATTTCTTTATCACCGCATCCCGGAAGAAGAAGTAGGGTCTCACTGCTTTGTGGCCTGGTTTAACAAGTTCTATTTGGTTAAGATGCCTTCACACCGACCGTTTACACCTACTTTCTCTAGCTTTGGGGACACCCCCAACCCTCCCATCAAGCTCTCTGCCCACACATACGTGTATGTGGTCTAGATTTAATGCTTCTCTTCTGTTGGAAAGAGAGAGAGAGCCTGGCGTTTTCAGTCGGAAGAGCTATGAACAGCTTATACTTCGCAGTGCTTTCTGGTTAACAAAGTTTTTCGCGTGTATGATCTCATTTAAGTCTTGTGACAACATCGCGGGGGCTGGTATGATTATTGTTGCTGCTTCAATCGATGAGGAAATGGAGTTTTTGAATCGATGAGCATTCTGCCCAAGCTTTGAAAGTCCCCCGGTAGTAGATCCAGGATTGTCACTTATGTCCACGGTCCCAATATCCTCATGTCCCCGCCCCCTGGAATCTCAGTACCCAAAGTAAGGTCCAAAGAGAGGCAGTTTTGTGATCACTTGAGGTATGGAATCTTGGACCCCCCTTTAGAACTAAAGAATCAGAATCTGCATTTTACAAAGATCCCTTGGTGATTCAGATGCAGGTTGAAGTTTGAGAAGAATTGGCCCGGCTGGATATCACACTGCCTTTCCTGCAGAGACTTAGACAAGTCCCCCAGGGGGATGCTTTTCTGGAGTTCTCATAGCAACTACTTGAGATGGCCTTGAGATGACCTTGAGGTGACCTTGAGTGATCAGGGTTCACTCCGGCTCCCACTGGCATATCACCCGATATGGCTGGGAGTAGGGGATGTAGGACAGGCAGAAATAGTTTCTCTCTTTAGCCCCACACTTGACCCTGAAACTCTCAACCCTTCTTTCAGGGAAAGTTTAGAAACGTGGAGAGGGAAGAAAAAGGAGAAACTGAGGAACTGAGGCAGGAAATAGACATTTGTCAATTTTCTTTGTTCCTAAAGACTCTCCACGTATCATTTCTTTTTTAAAAAAAATTTATTTATTTAGTTTGAGAGAGAGTGTGCGAGTGGGAAGAAGCAGAGAGAGAGAGAGGGAGAGGAAGAGAGAGAGAATCCTAAGCAGGCTTGGCACTCTACGCGTGGAGCCTGACACAGGGCTCGAAAAAAAGCAAAAAAAAAAAGAGAGAGAGAGAGAGAGAAAATGTTAAATATTTAAGGAATTTAAGGAATGTATTTTTTAATCATTCCAAATTTCAACTTTACCTGTTTGTCCCAATTGCTTCTGATAAGAGGATCTTCACATTACTACTTTTCATGTCTGCCATTTGCCCATATACCCTCCATCCCGTAAACATCCTATCCTTTTGAGGTGCAAAGTATTTGACATATTCTGTCTTCAGTGAACTGATTCAACACACGTTTATTGAACTACTGCTGTATGGTAAGCCCCGGACCCGGTGTGGGGATAGATCGGTGAATGGTAGAGCCCACAGTGGGGAAAACAGACTTTAAATACACAGTCACAGAATTGTCACTTCATGATACATATGATGCGTGGCTGGAGAGGAAAGGGTTCACCTTGTCTTCATATAACTCAGCACTAGGATGGGTTTCCTATTTTGGAAGGGTAAAATAAGTGTTTGAATAAATGAGCCAGCAGCTTCCCTTCCAGTTTTTAATGCAGTCTTTTTTTTTTGCTTCTTGCTTTATTGAGGTGTAATTTACAAATCAAAATTGTGTATATTGTGTATTTCAAAACGATTGTATAGATGTGTTGCTAGTGCAGTTTCTTTGGGCAGAATGATTATTGGGACCCCTTAGGATTTGGAGCAAGTTCTCCCACTTACCTCTTTTCTTTCCTGTCCTCAGGTTTGCCCCAGAAGGTGCTCTGCACCCTTCGTCAACCTACCCTGCTCCCCAGGAAACTGATCTTTATGGACCCCATCAATCGGCTTCCTGGCCCTGCTCCTTCCAAGCGAATGAGGCCATTTGAGGGTTTGGAGGCAGACTGTACGGTTTGTTACACCATCTCCTCATCTGCACCATTGCCTTGTACTGGTTGCGTCTCTCTCTAGAAAGTCGCAGCTCCCGCCAAGCGGCCTTCTCTGTATAACTACTCTCTGCACCCAAGATCAGCAAATCAGGCTCAGACTAAGCCAAGTTAGGTGGCTAGTTGCCAAAGTTAAGGAAGCTGTGACTCTTGGGTCCATGCATTGTCCAATCCTGATGTAACATTTTTCTGTAAGAGGCCAGAGTAAATATTTCAGGTGCTGCAGGCCCAACAGTCTCTGATGCAACTATTCAACCCCGCGTTTGAACTGCGAAAGCAGTTGCAGACAATAGGCGTGTTCCAATAAAGCTTTATTCTCATAAACAGGTCGTGGGCCCGATTTGGTCCACGGGCTGTAGTTTGCCAACCCCTGCCCTAAGTGTGACAGTTCCCCACGCTGCTAACTCTGGGGTACAGCACTGTCCCTTGTGGTTTCCTTTAACCCTGCTCGCATCTTTGCAGATAATTCCTTTACTAAGCTCCTTTCGAATTATCCAAATTGAGTGTGCCATCTGTTTCCTGCTAGGGCCCTAATTGATGCACTTGGCTTTGCATTTCTCCAACACAAGCTCTAATTGCAAAGGAAAAACAACAACAACAAAACCAACAATAGAAAGGGGGGACTATGACCGATTATTAGGTGGCAGGGATGTGGTGCTTTACATGTATTCATTCATCCCAAATATGATGGAATATTTCACCAAGTTACAATACGCTTTTAAAGTTGGCTGGAGCTGGAGCTGAAATAAATAAACCTTTTTTTTTTTTTTTTTTTATTGGGGCCCGAGTCTCAATGCTGCTGCCCTACTTGTCCTCTTCTGATGGAATGGAGGTCTGTTCTAATTAAACAAGAAAACACATCTTTTCACAAGGGGAGAACGGAGGCCATTGTACTCTATGCCTCAAAGAAAGCATGCTTTAATAAGAATTCTTTTATAATCCCTGCTTTTATTTGTTGCTTCCCAAAGCTTTTGCTGGTAATAAAAGGATTGTAAAGTTGACAAATATAAGCAGGGACAAAGAAGTTTGGGGAGATAATGCCTTGGTGAATGGGCAAGTGTTTGAAAGTGTATTGATCCGACGACATGTAGAAGATGATCGCAGAAAGCCAAAGCTGCCATCAGGGTGATGTTTCTATTACAAAGTAAAAGCCCCTCCAGACAGGACCATCATCAGGTAGAATTATGCCCTGTGTTGAGGAGAAAAATAATTCAGGCCAAAATGTAGGGTTTGGTATCTAAAGATCTGGATTCAGATGTGGATGTGTTGAACTTCTAACCTTCTGCATTATCCTACAGAACAGCAAATGGAGCTCCAGCAAATGTATCGTGTTCAGTGATGGGCAGGCTATGGATGTCTGTTCTCATTACACCCTTATCACTATCACCCACAGCACCCTTTATTCCTTGGGCAAGAGCCACCAGTTTTGAAGACTTTACATGCTCCATAGGGCTCCATCCCCAGTGCAAGGATGGAACACGTGACCAGGCCCAAGCCAATCAATGCAGTGCAATGCATCGGCCACCCAGATTCGTTTAGTTACGTGCACAGTTAACTGATAAGACTGAGACTGGGTAAAGGATCGGATGGGCTGTCCTTCTCCCCTAGAGTTGAATGTGGGAGCGGAGAACTGCTACAGGTATGGTGGAGCCTGGGGCTGAAGTCAACAGCGTAGAACGATGACATTGCTCAAGCCCCCAGGACCACCTTACCTAAAGCCAACCTTGATGAGATAGATTGGAGGAAAATATAATCAAGTTTCTACACTTTGCCTCCAAACCTCTTGTGGTTTTGTGCATTCTCTCACTGAGAGCATCGAGGGATGGAGATGTTTTTCCCACCCCCTTGAATCCAGCTGGTCTCGTGACTTGCTTCGGCCAATGCAATGCAGCGTAAGTGAGGGTGTGTGCTACCCCTCCATCTCAGAATCCAGCAGCCATGCAGCCAGACCTGGGAGAGCCAGTTAGAAGGCAAGGGATGTTGGGGCAGACAGCCCAGCATCCCAGCCAGCCGTCAGAAGCCCATCCACAACTACCAGCCCAGTGGAGACTGAAATGAATGAGGGAGCCCAGTGGAGACTGGAGGAGCCATCCAACTGAGCCCGGCTTTGATTGCTGACCCACAGATTTTGAGCTAAATAAGTAGTTGTGCTAAGCTACTATATGTTGAGGGGAGCTATCATTCATCAACAACTAACTAATAACACACAACCCTAACCCTGAGTCTTTCACTTATGCATATCAGTAATTTATTATTATTATTTATTATTATTATTATTATTATTATTTGTTTTAGTCAGTTAGGATTGGGTTTTCCATCATTTGAGATGAAAGGAATCCTAACACAACAAAGTTGTGCCTCCATTCCTCAGCTAGATATACCATTGTTAGGGATCCCATCTGTCTGATATGGATCCAATGGTGAGTGGGTGATCAATAAATCCTTAATGATTGCATAATATTTGGCTGCTTCTCAAATCACGTTTTGAAGAGCAAAGGCTATATTTGTTCTTGAGTCCCCGAAGTCATCTGTATGGGGATTTTGCTTCACTTGGCCTAACTCCTCAGCAGGACTTTGTAAGAGGCACCTCCGACCATCTCAATAGGTGAAAACAAGTAAGCTTGAGTATCTAAGGTATCCTCAGCATGTAAGAAACCACACTGAGCCATCTTCCTCAAGGGAATCTGGAAAAATCTGGGGCTGATTCTATCCTCCTTGCTATAGAAACCTGAAATTAAGTGTCAACTCTTTCTTTCTAAGATAAAAGGCATGTACTTTTTCTAGGCAAGAAGCCCAGATCCACCTACCCTTCCTGTCCTCTAGGACTCCATCCGTTCCTTGCTATGACTTGCTGCATTATTCCTATAATTTATTTTCTTTGAGAAAGAAAGAAAGAAAGAAAGAAAGAAAGAAAGAAAGAAAGAGAGAGAGAGAGAGAGAGAAAGAAAGAAAGAAAGAAAGAAAGAAAGAAAGAAAGAAAGAAAGAAAGAAAGAAAGAAAGAAAGAGAAAGACTAAAGTGAAAACCCCAGAGACGTTACATTCCACTCCAGTAAAAGGATAGAATGTACCTGACCTATAGCAGAGTGAAATCCAGCAACCAATTCTTACCAGCCATTGACAAATTGTGTGTGTGTGTGTGTGTGTGTGTACAGAGAGAAAGGACACCATTATTTTTATTCTTTAATCAAAGGATAACCGGACTTTCTCTACCCTAAGTGAGTTTACATTTTAAGTTCCTAAATGGTTGTTGTTGGTTTTTTTCCCCTATAATCCACGGACAAAGGTCAGAAGGAAGATCCTGTTGAGGATGGAAAAGAGAAATATACTCAGTGGCCGGAGATAACTTCTCTCAGCCCAGAGGTCGGGCGAGGGCATATCTGGCTGACATTTTCTCTTCTCTCTAAACTCTCCCAGGCCTCACCAGCATCTAATCTTTCCTTTCTTCCTTCTCACTCCTCCTCACTCATAGGCTCATCTCTTCCCCTGAAAGGCTAGAGGGAAAGTCCAAGGTACTGAATGCCATTCATGAGAAAAGAAAGACATGGGCTCGATTGGTCGATCTCCTCCAACTAGACAACTCGTGTGGTGTTTGACAATTGCCAATTGTCAGAATGAGGCCCGGACCATTCAAACCTTCCTTCCTCATTAGATTGCAAGTCTTCAGAGGAGAGAAAACACCATATTGGGAAATTGGATGCCAAAGAGAAGACATTCACAAGGTAAATAAATGAACAGGGTAGAAGGGAGAGGGGCAGGTACCTTCTGAAGAAACAGAAATCTGTGTATGAGGGAGAACAGTCGCTTGAAGCTACTGGACATGAAAGTGACAGAGCAAAGGAGGCAGTAACGAAAACTCGGGTGATAAGGGGGTACGAAGTAGTGTAGAGCTTCAATTTATTTCCTGTCACTCGCACCCTTTCTTGTATTATAAAATGCAAACTCCATAACATGATCTTATGACCCTGTGTGACTGACACCCCCTGTCCCTTCAACTTCTTCCCTAGAAGGGCTCCCCCTTATTCCTAGCTGCACAGGCATTCTTTAATTTCCTCCACCATGTCAGGTTTGTTCCTGCCTCTGGCTCTTGCCATTTGCTTTTTTTTTTCTTTCCTGTCATGGCAGGCTCCTCCCCATCTGTGAAGTCTCAGTTCAAACAGCAGCTCCTCTGTGAGGTCATCCTTGGTCGCCTCACCCAATATAGGCCTGCCCCTGCCCATCACTTCCTACCTCACTACTCTAGAATGTTCCCCTTCATTGTACTTCACAGTAGCTAAAATCATCTTCCTTCCTTCTGCTAATTTGGGGCTTAGTTCACTCTTCTTTTTCTAGCTCTTGAGCTGTCAAGTTAGGTTTTTATTCAATAACTTTCTTCTTTTTTAAGATTTTTTTAATTTTTAGAGAGAGAGAGCACGTGGAGAGGAGCAGAGGGAGAGAGAAAATCTTAAGGAAGCTCCATGCCCAACACGGGGCTCAATCCCACAACCCTGGGATCACGACCTGTGCCAAAATCAGGAGTTCGATACTCAACCAACTGAGCCACCCGGGTGCCCCTCTTCTTTTTTAATGTAAGCATTGATTGCAATAAACATCCCTCTTACTATTGCTTTTGCTGCCTCCCATAAGCTTTTTATTTTTATTGTTGAATTTGAAGGGCTCTTTGTTACAGTAGCTAGTACTACCTGCCCTAGCTAATACACCAAGGAAGTCTTGCCGATGGTTTGGAAGGACCAACCAGAAGGCACAAATAATCACAGCTTCTCTGAAATTCCTCTTTCCCATAATTCACTTCTCCTGGACCTTGGAACATGAATTCCAGCTGTTCCATCAACCAATGACTAGAACCATTTTCTCTGCTGAGCACAAAGTCATCATTCATTAGGAAGCTCTCCAAACACATCCATTCCCTGGTGCTCATTTCCTGGCCTGGAAGTGTGTGAGGATCCCAGCACTCTCTGGATTTATACGCTCTGTTACCTGTATTAGTGAGAATGCTGGGCTGCAGCCGTTCATCATCCACCAGCCCACCAGACAAAATGATTCACTCTAGACTTAAAGGCTGAAGTCGACAGAGTATCGCTTTAACTGGAGGGAAAGGCACTTCCATGAAGTGGCAAGAGCTTTACAGCAGAAAGTTGTATTAATGACCCCACTTCAGTGCTTATCAGGAGGAGGTCATATAATCCCTTCCCAGAATTACATGCTGGCCAGTTCAGATAAATAACACAGATCTCCACCATTCATAATCCAAAATGTTAACAATTAATTTCCGAAATCAATCCTGAAGGGGGCTGGAAGCCCAAATCGCTGGGCCCAGACAGGCCTTGCCTGGTGGATTTCTCATGAGTCAAAATTTAAACCTCCAACTTGCAACGAACTGTTGTCAAGATGCAGCTGACTTAGGCAATCAAGATAACATTATTCAGCAATAACGTGGGTGAAACATACTCTAAGTGTGAATTAATAAGTCGGCTGACACCAGGCCCCAGATGTTTCCCACTCTGGCAATATGCCCGAAGTGATGATAAGCAGATTTACATACTTAACTAATATGTTTATTTAAAGGAAATTTCCAAATCCAAAATAACATCCAGATTTCTTATTTGGCTGCAGATCAAAAGACATCCTATCAATAAAGACAGAATCCAGGATAAACCTTTTCAACATCTGCTTAAAACCAAACAACAGATTTGAGGGTTTTGGTAAAACTTAATTGCAGACAAATTTTACTGCCTCTTACATAAATATATATTTTCATGTCCCTGGGGTGGTTCTGACCTCATCAATTCTCATGTTCACAATACATGACATTGTTCTTTTACCGGCACCAGGAGCTCTGCCTTTATGGAGACTTCCAGTCTCAAGGTTTTCTTTCAGACTGAAGGATGAACAGACTTTCCCCCCCATCAGGAAAGTGGAGCAAAAGTCAGGGGCATGAGCAAGAGCTTGGAATGTTATAGAAAAGAAAAATCTGTTCCTCTCCCGACCAGTTAGTGCTTTGTTTTTCTGTACGTTATAAAAAGCATTTATTTGGTCTCACTCTTCCTTCATTTTGGAGTAATGCTCCTTGACTATCGATGTTTTTCTTTTTGCTGTTGTTGCGGCTGTGGATTCCCCAAGGGAGAGCTCAGTAATGGGATGGAAGTGTTAATATATCTCTATGCTTGAGAAGGAGATGATGATGATGGAATGGGTGTCGGCCATACTAGCTCATATCCCTTCAGTGTGAATGAGTTCACTTTCCCTAGGTGTTAACGGCCTGGAGTTGGGCCAGGATTGTTGGGCACGGAGGCATTTTGCCCACCCACTGGCCAGGGCTGTAATTGAACTAAGGATGTGCTTCAGAAACTCCCTTTGCCTGGGGATCTGTTTAGTGTCAGAGTCAATATTAGCAGGTTGACCCCGGGGCAGGGAGATTTGGAGAGTCAGAAGTCATCCATCTTTGCTCCTGCTCCATCCTTTGAACTTAGTCATGTTAAAATTTTGAGTCCAATCTCTTCATAGCTGAGACCGGAAGGATAGGGTGGTGGAAGCATTCAAAGAAATGCCAGACAGAGCGGCAGTGGGCTACCATTTTCCTCTCCTCAATTAGCAAACATATTTCTAAACACTTCATTTAATTATACTTTTTATACTTCCTATAAGTTTTTCCAACAAGAAGTGATGCCACGGATAACAATTTTCTATGTATGAAATATAGATATCAAAAGCCTTAAAAATCTAACCTTTGACCCAGAAATTGTACCTCTAGAATGCATACGAAAATAATTATAGATTTGTGCACAGATTTAACCATAAACATGCATGGCTTTGCTTATGATAAGAAGAGAAAAATCAAATGGCCTAAGTATCAAACACTTGAGACCAGCTAATTAAATGATCGTCCGCCATTTATGAAATTACTCAAGATGACAGTGAATAACGTTGATCTTGGCAAGTAAGAAAAAACAGGTTGCAAAAAAATGAGTGTTATATTTTGCCATTAGAAGATCCATATGTACAAATATGTAATATGTATATATCTTAATGACATAACAAAATTATGGCAGGGTACAATTCTAGGTAATTATAGTTTGTTTTTTACTTGTAATGTAAATGCTCTACAATGAACAACTATTATTTTTAGGATTCAAAATTCTAAAAATATTGTGTAGGTTTTCAGTTTAAATTGATTGCCTTGAGGTATAATTTACATATAATTAAATGCATTCGTCTTAAGTATTCATTTCAATGAGTTTTGACTAATCCATGTACCCCATGTCGTTGACAAATTAAGACACAGAACAGTTAAAATATAGAATTACTACATAATTTCTACCCTCAAATGTTCCTCAGATCCCTTTCTAGTCAAACTTCTCACCTCCTCTGGCTCCAAGGTAACTTTCTGTCATTTTTATGGGCTGAATTGTGTCTGTCCCAAATTTATAGGTTGGAGTCCCAAACCCCGAGTACCTCAGAATGTGACTTATTGGGAGATGGGGCCTTTCAAGAGGCAGATTAGTTAAAATGAGGTCATTTGGGTGGCACTGTCCCCATACGACTGTTATTATAAGAAGAAGAGATGGGGCGCCTGGGTGGTTCAGTTGGTTAAGAGTCCAAACTTCAGCTCAGGTCACGATTTCATGGCTCATGGATTCAAGCCCTGCATCCAGCTCTGTGCTGACAGCTCAGAGCCTGGAGCCTGCTTCGGATTCTGTCTCTCCCTTTCTCTCTGCTCCTCCCCTGCTAGTGCTCTGTCTCTCCATCTCAAAAATAAACATTAAATGAATTTAGTAAATGAAATAAAAGAAGAAGAGATTAGAACACAGACATGCGCAGAATGAAGACAGAAGAAGGCATCGACAAACCGAGAGGCCACAGAAAATTCCAAACCTGCCCCTACCTGGATCTCAGACTTCTAAGTCTCCAAAAGAGTGAGAAAATATATTTCTGGTTGTTTAAGCCACCCAGTCTATGGTATGTGTATGGCCGCCTTAGCAAACCAATACAGACATTATAGTATTTTTAAAGTTCATTTATTTATTTTGAGAGAGAGAGATATGGGAGGGGCAGAGAGAGGGAGAGAATCCCAAGCAGGCTTTGCACTGTGAGCATACAACCTGATGTGGGGCTTGAACTCACAATCTGTGAGACAACGATCTGAGCCGAAGCAAAGGAGTCAACTGTTAAACTGACTGAGCCCCACACATACCTCTATAGTATTTTTTTCAAAAAGAGTTTCATATAATGAAATCATACAGTATGTATGTTTGGCTCTTTTGTGCCAATTTGGTCTTGATGTTTTTGAGATTCATCCTTGTTGTGTGTGAATCTATAGATTAGTCCACGATTTACTCTAATCTGTTGGCGATTCCTTTTTCTTGCTGGGTGATATTTCATTGTGTGGCCCTACCACTTTTTGTTTATCCATCCACCAGATAATGGATGGATACGTAGAGTTTTTTCCAGTTTTGCATTATTATCAACAGAGCTATTATAAAATTCCTGTGCGAGGACCGCCTGGGCGGCTCAGCTGATTGAGTGTCCGACTCTTGGTTTCAACTCAGGTCATGATCTCATGGTTTGTGAGTTCCAGACCCACATCGGGTTCTGCACTGACAGTGTGGAGCCTACTTGGGATTCTCTCTCTCTCTCTCTCTCTCTCTCTCTCTCTCTCTCTTTCTGTGCCTCCCTAACTCACACTGTCTTCCTCTAACTCTCTTAAAAAATAAATAAAGGCAATATTTAAAATTCTTGTACAAGGTTTGTGGGGGTTTTTTTGAGACATATGTTTTCTGTTGCCATAGGTAAATATCCCTAAATAGAATTGCAGGCTCATGGCAGAAGTAAATATTTAACTTTATAAGAAACTGCAAAACTGGTTTCCAAAGTGGTTATACCACTTTACAATCCTGCCAGCAATGGATGGAAATTCTAGTTCCTCCACATCCATCCCCACACTTGGTTTTTCAGCCTTTTAAATTTTAGCCCTTCTGGTTGATAGGCAGTGGTGTGTCACTGTAGGCTGAAACTCACATTTCCCTATTGGCTAAGGATCTGAGTATCTTTTAATGTGTTTATTGGCCATATGCAGATTTTATTTTGTGAACTGCCCGTTCAAGTCTGTTGTTCACTTTTTATTGCATAAATATTGGCCTCTTATAATTTTTTTAGCTTTTTATTTATTTTGAGAGAGAGAGAGAGCAGGGGAGGGGCAGAGAGAGGGGGGAGAGGGAGAGGGAGAGGGAGAGAGAGAGAGAGAGAGAGAGAGAATCTTAAGCAGGCTCCATACAGCCAGTACAGGGCTCGTTGTGGGCCTTAAACTCACAAACTGTGAGATCATGACCAGAAATGACATTAAGGTGCTCAACTCACTGAGCCACCCAGGTGCCCCTTTTATTATTGAGTCGTAGGAGTTCTTTATATATTCTAGATACTAATGTCTGCCAGTT